GTCACATGTACAGACTGTTGTAATGAAGGAATCTGCTGCTCACTGTTGTACTGTTCTGCTTTTCTTATGTAGTTGCCTCAGACTAATTCTAGTTTATGTAAGTTAATGAGCTGATGCCATGCATGTGTTTGGTTTATCTGTAATATGTCATTGGTTATATTAGAGTTTCATTTTAAGGTACATACAAGTATTTATGTATATTCAGCCCCTGCATATCTGATGTTACTTATGGTTTTCATGGTTTGTTGATTCATCTTTGGTTTTGTGTATGGCTGCCCTGAATGTTTTTGTTGGAGTGGTAGCTTGCTGTTTGGTGGTCAGCCATAATACAGAGACTGAACATATATTAATATGTGCCTTAAAATAAAACTCTAATACAACCAATGACATATTACAGATAAACCAAACACATGCATGGCATCAGCTCATTAACTTACATAAACTAGAATTAGTCTGAGGCAACTACATAAGAAAAGCAGAACAGTACAACAGTGAGCAGCAGATTCCTTCATTACAACAGTCTGTACATGTGACAATGGCCAGTTAGGCCAAAACATGTAGTCACAATAAAGATGAGAAGACAAGTGAATATTAACTGTCTTTGCACAGATGGAAGAAGTGGGATGCAAAGTCAGACTTTGTAACAGTTGGTGAAAGCTCTGAAATTACCCAAATCTAGGTTAACTAACTAACTCCATGGAGCTCCCTTCTTGAGAAGCTGCCAGTTGTTTAGCTACTAAAGAATTTCCCAACATTTTATACAACCCAAAGGTTCATTAACGTGTTCACAAGAGACCTCCACTGGTCCCTATCCCAAGCCAGATCAATCCAGCCCATTCAACAATATCCTACATAAGATCTGTTTTAATGCTATTCATCCAACTATGTCTTGCTATTCTTACTGGTCTCTTTTCTTCTGACTTTTCCACAAAAATCCTATATGGATTCCTCCTCTCTCCCATTCATGCTACATGCCCTGTCCAGTTCATCCTCCATGACTTGATCATTCTAATTATACTTGGGGAAGAGTCCAAGTTATGAAGCTCCTCATTATGCAGTTTTTTCCAACCTCCTGTCACTTCATCTCTCTTTGGCCCAAATATTCTCAACACCCTCAGTCTTTGTTTCCTTTAATGTCAGTGAACAAGTTTCACACCCATACAGAGCCACAGGCAAATTTATAGTTTTGAATATACTAGTTTTTTATATTTTTACACAGAAGACAAGAAGACAAAAGTTTCTGGACTGAATTGTAAGAAGCATTACACAAATTCAATTTCCCTTAAAGTTCCTCCTAAATGAAATACACACAACTGTGCCATATTTTCAAGGGATCTATTAGCTATCTTTGTGTCATGATTTTTCACTGCATTCTGGGGACAAGATATCAACATATATTTAGTTTTCTCTGCATTTACTTCTGGGCCAATCTCCTCACTAGTGTCAATTAAAAAGTTGGTGTTTTTCTTTATGCTATCTATGTTATCATCCAGTAGATTTACTTATATCAGCATAAAGCACAACAGACCACTGTAGGTCACGGTGCAAGGGCCGAGAAGGCCCATCCTTTATACATTCATACATCAGCACAGAACAACAGCTTACATGTCCAATTTAATTTCATTCCACCTGATTTTCCTGGACCTTCCTAATGGCATATTCTACAGCAAAGTTGAAAAGCAACGGCAATAAAGCATCTCCTTGTTTTAGACCATTTTGGATAAGAAATTTATCATACAAAAGTTTACTTATATGGATTTTACTATAAGCTTCATTTAAACACATTCTAATCAACCTAACTTCCCTTCCTAACTGAATCATAGACTTTCTTGAAGTCTATGGACAGCTGATGTACTGTCTCATTGTACTCCCATTTTTTCTCCAATATTTGATGAATGCAAAAGATCTGATCAGTTCTTGATCTGTTAGGTTGAAACCCACACTGGTGATCCCCAATAATTTCATCTATATATGGACTTAACCTTAACAGAAGAATGTCAGATAAAATGTTATAGGAAGTTGATAGCAGTGATATCCCATGATAATTACATCAGTCATTTTATTACCCCTCTTGTGATTTGGTACAATAATAGACATCTTCCAGTGATCAGACAAGTCTCCCATATTCCAAATAGAATTAATTAGCTTATGGATCTCAGAACATAATATTTCACCCCCTGCTTGAATCAGTTCTGCCAGAATTTGATCACTACCTGGCAATTTATACTTTTTCAACTTTGCAATAGGAATTCAACCCAAAACAGCTAGGATCAGGTACTAATGACTCAGCTCTATGTATTTATATCTGCCTAACATCACTGACCCTACGTACATTAAATAACTGAGAGAAGTAGTTCTTCCACCTATTCAAAATATTGTAGGAATTGCAAGCAGATCACCTTTCTCATCCATCACTAAGTTACTTGTAGATTGGTAATCTCTCCTAAGTCATTTATTACTTTATAATACAGATCTCTACATGTTCTTGTTCTTACTGTTCATTGCAAGCTGATCAATTTTGTCTTTCAGATATTCCCTCTTTTTATTCCTGAAATTCCTGCTGGCTTCACATCTTATATTGTCTAGATTATCCCCATTTTTTTTGTTTGGATCCTGTGATCACTGCAATTTTGCTTGTTTCCATTGATCTAACAATTTTGAGTATCTTTCATCAAACCATGGCTTATTTTCTCCAATTCATAATAACCTAGACTCTCTCTGGCTGACATATGATATTCTGATAGTTTCCCAAGCTGTGGACCTATGTGAGATTTCAATCTGATACTGCTCTTTACCCTCTATGTCTTTTAATTTCTTGAGATTGAACCTCTCCATATGAAATCTGTGCATTGTCTGTCTATTTACTGCCAGCCTCTCCCTAACTTTTGCCACCTTTGAAAAGACTGTTGAGTGTTAACACACTACATGCATATAAGTCATGTTGCAAGTCACAAATGAGTGAACAGCCTTTTACTTTGAATAGGGAATGGTTTTCAAGGAAATCAGGTAGCACCAACAGATAGGATTCTCATAGCAATATTTTCAATTTACTGATGACTTCAACTCACTGCATCTGAGGAAACTCTATCTGCATATGCCTCTTATTAATTTTTCAGAAAAAATAATACACCCATTTGTGATGTACAACTAATGCCATTAGTCACAATAGTAGAGCTTATGGGGAAAGAAACAGGAATGCATTAGGTTTAGACTCCACTGGGAAATGTACCTTTGGAGAAGGCCTCTACAGAATGGGGTCCATAATTATTTTAATCTCATTTTATTACCTTCCCCACACAACTCAAAGTATCCCCAGCATATAGGACACAGATATGGGACCACAGAATAAACCTTGCCCATCTTTAAAATGGCAGTAAAGGACCAACCATGTACGAACATGTCAGGAAGGCACTACATATATATAGTAACAGCCAACTGGGAACACAAATTAATGACACAACCAACAAAATGTTTGAAACTCTACACATACAAATGTACTTCCCACACAATTAACAGTTAGGCTTGCCCTTCCTCTACTTCCAACATCGCCCAGCCATAATACTCTCACACAGAAAGCCACTTCCTAGGTACTGCACAATCCAGCAACAACAGACATTTAAGTATACTTATTGCATATAAAAAAATACTTCTATGAACATAGGAACTTTTCAGATGTGTTAAAGGAAACTGGCCTATCGAGTAAGAATAACTGTGAAACCAACAAACACACACCCTCACTCTGCACAAATAACAGCATCAACAGGAACTCAGGCCAAGCCACCCAAGAACAACAGAACAAGGAAACATATGAAGTTCACAGACAATGCTGCTCATTCACATAAAACATTCAATGTGTATAACTTCAGCACAATAACTGCTATGTTAACCAGTAGATACAAAGCCAACCATTACAGTATTCAATGTATAATGCACCAGTGCATCCACTCGACTTGTATGACAACTTATGCCAAACACATGTTGCAATAATTGTGACTAAAATCTGAACATGAAGATGGCACACATGCCAAAACATGTCTTCCTACACAGCAGCTCCAGCTGGAGGAAAGAGTGGTGTGTTGACAGCAATACAATAAATATCGTTTTAACTTGTCAGAAACTTTCAGGAATTTCTTCAGTGATATGGTTAAGATCATTATTTCATGAGCATAAAACTGGCTCATTAATGCAATGTGTAGAAAATTCCACCGTAACCTGTATTTTTACTTCTTCTAATATGGCATGAATTTCTATGAAATCAGATGGAATATAACAGACAGGATTCCTGTATTATTACTTGCAATTTACCATTGATTTCATGAAGCTATATTCTAGGATTAACTCACTGTCACATGTTAGTGAATAGACAAAGGGTTTGGACTGGTAATAGGATCTGTTCCATTGGTCATTATATAGCCTCGGAATGGACTGCATAGAAAATACCGTGTTGTTGTTGTTGTTGTTTACTAACTGTTGCATAGCAATGGCCCAAGTGTTTATTGGCTGTTAGCTAGCAACGACTGCATCTTCTGGCTTTCAGCCATTGTGTCACGACATTAATCCACCTTTTAATAAGTTTCAAGCTGAGGTGGATACAGTCTCTTAGTCAAAAATGCCTTGCTCTGGAATAGAAGACTATCAACCATGAACAAATAAAACTGAATTTTGAAAGAAAATGAGCAACTAAAGTACTCAATCAAAAAACGTTTGGATATAAGCCAATCCTGCAGGATAAAAAAAAATTTCAGAAGTATTAAGCTGCTGTTTCATTGGGGCAAAAGCTGATATGAATGGACAAAGGAAATGGATAGATTTGTTCATTTACCTGAGTTCTTGTTTCAGTTTTTTCACTTCCCTATTCTTTCTGGCCATAAGGATATCAAATTTCTCATGCTCAAGCTTCATTATCTGGAGATGCTGCTGGAGATTTTCTTCCTTCTTGCGAAGGTCTTCAAGGCGCCTTGCTAGAACAGCTTCAGCATCATGCAATGGAAGCAATGCCTGAAACAAAAACTAATGTCATATTCATTCACATTTCATACTAAGTTAACAAGCTGAGCCACGACATAGCTCAAGCGGTTAGGTGCTGGCTTCCCACAGCAGCGGCCCGGGTTCGATCCCGGGTCTGGACAGGTGGGATTTGTGGTGGACAAACTGGTGCTGGAGCAGGTTTTCTCAGAGTACTTAGGTTTCCCCTGCCAGTCTTCATTCCACCAATTGCTCCACAATCATCCTCACCTATCATCTGGGGCTGGTACAATAGGCCAGAAGTGGCCGCAGTACTAGGCACTTAATCCAACCGCACTAGCAATAAAAAAAAAGTTAACATGCTGAAATATTAAGAGTCCGACTGCTAAGAACCATTACAAAAATACTCAACAGAATGTAGGGGCACAGAAAGGGCTAAGGACATATGACATGCCATTAAAAATGAGCAGCAAGATTACTTTGCAGGAGCATCAAAGAATTGTGTCCCCCTCCAATAGCATGATACGCCTGGGAAGGCTGGAGAAAATCAAGAAAAACTTCAATCAGTATACCTGACCTCTAAATGTGGGGCCTCTCAAATATGAAGCGAACATGCTAACCATTTCAGCATGACTGTTTGCTATTTGCTCTAATCTGGGCTCCTCTGGGATGCAGAGGGCTTTATTCTGGCCGAATTCCTGGAACCTGGGCAAACCATCAATGCTGCTCGTTATGTCCAGATGCTGCACAAGCTCCGTCGTGCATTGCACGATAAACGTCCGGGATGAAACATCATCATCCTGCATGACAATGCTCACCCCCACAACGCTCGCCTCACATTGGAAGCAATTGCAAAGATGAGGTGGGAAGTTCTTCCACGCCCCTCCTATAGCCCTGATCTGGCACCCTCCGACTACCATCTTTTTGGATTTGTGAAGTATCAGCTGCGTGGACGTTTTGAGACAAGGGAGGCAATTCAGAAAGCACTACGTCAGTGTCTTTGGATGGCTGGAACGGAATTTTACAGAAGGGGAATTTTCAAACTCCCAGAATGCTGGGAGAAATGTGTACAAAGTGGCGATCATGTGGAAAAATAAAGAAAGGTCTGTAGATTGAGGTGGTATATTTGGTTTGTCAATAATAAAGCATGTTACTTTACAAAAAATTGTTGCTCATGACTTTCAGTACAACCCTCATAAATAAGTGCCAATAAACCCAATCATCAAACCCAGAACCCATTATCATTAGTCACACTAACCTTGAATACATGACAATATTATCCTTCTGTCTATATTTAGGCTCCAAAGTGTCACCTCTTTAGATTTTTCAACCAAAGTATTTCAACGTGTCAAATACACAGAAGCCGGAGAGGTAATGATGCATCAATGGCTCAAGTAGTTCGACAAGATGAAACAGAATTTTAGTCATCAAAGTTCCCAAACCATTTTGCAACAATTTCAAATTTATGTGGATTAGTGTTTAATTTCTGATGATCTGGATAAAACTAACAATTTCCTATTTGATGAACTGAGAAAGATTTGGAAGGAAGTGTACTGTGGCCTAACTGAGATATTATCCTGGTGTTTTCCTGCATGGATTGAGGAAACCCATCAAAAACTTCAGTCAGGATAGCAGGTACCTTGGCTGAGATTCAAACTGAGCACCCCTTTAACACAAGTTGAGATTATCGCCAGACTAACCTGTTCATTCTTTTTAACAATTATCCAAATATTTGCTATGTACTGGTTGTTATGGTTACCTTATTTTCCTCTTTCAATTGGGCATTCCTTGCAGCCAACTCAGCTACAGTGCTTGCATGCTCTTCAGTTTTTTTCATCATATTTTCCAGATTTGTCCTAAGGCAGCTGATGGTTGTAAGGTAATCTTTTTCTTTTTTAGCCATTCCTTCTACCTCCTCTTTTGCACTTGATATTTTCCTGTAACAAATTGAGAGCAAAAAATGGAACACACATTTTATTATGTCAAAAACAAATGGGTGAAAGTTTCAGTTCACTTCTCAAAATGTGTTTGATGCAGTTTTTACATCAACATACATAATCTCTTCATATTCATCAGTATACAGTACACACAGATCTAGTTACCAACAATAAAGGTATTACACTGCATAAAGCATTATTCCCCATTTTTTCAAATACATGAAATAAAAATGTCTTGAATAATATATGGAGGATGTATTATGCTACATAAAGTCCATTTTAATAATATTCTACAATCTACATCTAGTCTCCCAAACAGCTTCTTCCCTTCAAGATTTTCAACTAAAATTCTGTGGCCATTTCTCACATGTCCATCCATTCTGCATGTCCTACCTAACACAATCTTCATCACCCGGATAACATTTGGTGAAGCTGTTCATTCTGCAACTCTCTATATCCTCCTGTTATTCTGTCCCGGTCCCAAATATTCTCCTCAGCACGCTGATCTCAAATACCTAAATTGTGTTTTTTCTCCTTTTAGAACTCAAAATACTTTATTATTATTATTATTATTATTATTCCAAGGGATTTGTGCCTGTTGTCCGTAAAAAGAAACCTATCGCAGTCTCTGTGAATAATACAATCAAACCTATATGTCAACCCCTTATAGGGGTACGAAACTCTGCGTCCTTGCCTATTGTTGTTAAAAAAGAAAGAACCAAAGCTCTCTTTGTTTCCAGATTCTGTCCAGAGGTTTCAGCTGCTGACGTTGAAAAGTCTTTAAAGGAGCAATTGAGCTTAAAGAAATTGATTTGCACCAGACTGAAAACTAAATTTAATACTTATTCTTCTTATCATGTTTTAGTTCTTGAAGATGAATTTCCACTTATCAATAATACTGGTGTTTGGCCTACAGGGTGCTTGATTGCCCCCTTTTACGGTAAACTTAAACCTGATCAGATGTACTCCCCCAGTACCCCTGTTACTGGTGGCCGATCAATTTCTAAGGCTTGTAGTCAGGTGGATCTAGGCAGTCCAGTCACCTCTCCGCCCTCCCGGACCATCAACAATAATGACATGATCTTAATAGGTGAGGAGGCTAGTGGAGGCAGCTACGGAAGTAATATGTAATGGCTGCCTCCCCCTTTACCCCTCATTGTGGTAGTTTACGCGTGGGCAATGGCAATTTAGAAATTTTTTATCAAAATGTAAGAGGTCTTCGCACCAAATCTACTGAAATATTTAACACTGTGTGCTCCTTTGATTATGAAATTATATGTTTAACTGAAACGTGGTTAAATGAATCTTTTTCCACTCAAGATTTTTTTCCTGGAACGTATACTGTATATCGTTCTGATAGAGACTGCATTGACAAGTTGCGTGGTGGTGGTGTTTTGACGGCTGTTTCAGACACTGTTTTCGGCATCAAACGCAGACCCGACCTTGAATTTTTTCACGAATCTGTTTGGGTTGAGGCTACATTATCTGATGGCCGTAACTTGCTCATTGGCAATCACTATTTTGCACCTGATATTAAGGTTGATATTATTAATAATTATTTCAATTTTTTAGAAAATTCTTTAGATACTTTAAATTATCGGGTACTTTTGCTTGGTGATTTTAATGTTCCTGGCTATGATTGGGATAATGGTTTTCCTTCACCAACCAGTCATTTTTATACCAAACTTCGTGGAGATGTGATTTACTCAGCCGTTTGTTATCTTGGTTTTAGTCAATATAATCATCCGGTTAATGGACTTAATTTGCTTGATCTTGTATTTTCGAATTTTGGTAACTTTTCATTGATTTCTGTTGATCAAGGACTTGTTCATCCTGACCCTTTTCACCCCCCTTTTATTATTGATTGTAAAATTCCACTTCGGCAAAGTAACCAAAATTTTAGTACTCCTTGTAAATTATATTCTGCAGGGGACTATGCATTACTTTATAATGCCCTATTCACCTATGATTGGTCTGCGCTGTACAATGAAACGTCTGTTGATGCTGCCGTTGATCAACTAAATATTGCTGTAATGCAAGCCATTAACCTAGCTGTTCCTTCTGGTTGGGTTAAGAAGCGTAAATACCCTATCTGGTTTTCTGGTAGGCTTATAGCTTATGTTAAAAGGAAGAATTATTTTTATAGACGCTACAAGAAGCACAAGACTGATCGTTTATATGATAGATTTTCTTTTTATCGGAAACTAGTAAAAAGAACAATAAAGTCCGATAAACATCTTTGGCTCTTATCTGTCGACCAAAATTTAAAATCTAATCCGCAACAATTTTGGAAGTATGTGTCTCAACATAGGAAAAAGTATAATGATTTAACTTATCTTGATGATGATGGTGTTCTTTTAAATGAACCTCACGATATTGTTGAGTCCTTTTCTAAACACTTTCAGTCGGTTTTTAATAGAAGTACTCTTGGTATTGACACACTTTCTCTTGATAAACTTTGTACGGATAATTTACCCTTAGCTTATATTTCCAATCGTGATGTACAAAACGCTATAAAACGGCTGCGACCGACGAAATCGGTTGGTACTGATGGTATACCGAATTTTGTCATTAAGGGCTGTTCTGAAATTTTAGTACCTGTACTTAGATATATCTTTAATCTTAGCCTGTCTCAGAATTCTTTCCCCAAATTGTGGAAGCAAGCAATCATTGTTCCCGTTTTTAAAAAAGGTAAAACTTCTTCAGTTAGAAATTATAGGCCTATTGCTATTCTTAACAATTTTTCTAAAGTATTTGAATTTATTATACATGACCACATTTATCAATTTTTTAAATCTAAACTTAGCCCTTTTCAGCATGGTTTTATAAAATCTAAATCTACCACTACTAATTTAGTCACTTTTCTCGACTTTGTTTCCCCCTTAGTTTGTACGCAAGGCCAAGTTGACTCTATTTATTTTGATTTTAGTAATGCATTTGATACTGTATCCCATACCTTGCTTCTTTATAAGCTCAACAATTATGGATTATCTTCTGGTTATGTAAACTGGTTACGCAGTTATTTAACAGACAGAGAGTCTTGTGTTCGTTTTTTAGGCCTATTTTCTACTCCTTTTATTGTTCTTTCTGGCGTTCCTCAAGGTTCTGTTTTAGGGCCTCTGCTTTTTAATATTTTTATTAATGATTTGCCTGAAGTCATTAATCACTCCAGTTGTTTACTTTTTGCTGATGATTTTAAAGTTTATAGAGCTATCAAAACACTTAATGACTGTCTTCTTCTACAGTCGGATATTGAACGGGTACAAGATTGGTGTTCGGTAAACTTAATGAAACCGAACCTTAGTAAAACCAATGTTATTTCCTTTTCCAGGAAAACTACTGTTTTGAAATATCAATACAGACTCGGAAATTTTTTTATTTTGCGAACTGATAGTATTAAGGATCTTGGAGTACTTATCGATTCAAAGCTTCACTTTCATCAACATGTAGATATTTTATTTTCACAAACTATGAAATTACTAGGATTAATTCGCACCATTACGTTTTCCTTCTCTACCTTAGACAGTCTTTTGATGCTGTATACTGCTTTAATCAGATCCAAACTGGAGTACGCTTCTGTTGTTTGGAATTCGATAACGAATACTGACTCCAACAAACTTGAGCGTATACAAAGAAAATTTGCAGCTCTCTGTCATAATAGATTTTTTAAAGATATAGATTATCATTATTTTAGTATTTTGGATAAACTAAATCTGCAAACCTTGGATGTCAGACGGCGTCATATTGATGCTTTGTTTTTAATAAATGTTTTTAGAGGCACAACATATTGCTCCTCTGTCCTTGATGCGGTCGGTTTGCGGGTTCCTTCTCGGAACATTCGAAATTTTTCTACATTTAGCTGTTCTTTCAGTCGCTGTCCCACAGCTAGATGTGTTGTTGCTGCAAATTTTGTTTGCGAACTTGTAGACATTTTTAGTAAATATAGTTTAAGTTTGAATTGTTTAGTTTGATAATTTTTTTACTTTTGGTTGTTTTTTACTATTTGCACTGCTTTTTAACTTGTCACTGGCTTTTGAGCTAAGTATGCAATTAGTTTTTTGCTGTTAATTGTTTTTAATTTTCCAAATACTTAACGTTTTTGACCTGTTATTATCTATGTGTGTATTGTCTTGATTTTTATTATTGTCTGTTGTTTGTTGTTTTATATTTTCCGTGCTGACTCTGTAATTGGCCTCCGCTGTTGAGTTCGGCACGTAAATAAATAAAGCATTGAATTGAATTGAATTGAATTATTATTAAATTGTTGCTATCATAAGAGCAACGCTGTATTTTTAACATCATACAGGCCACAATTTCTGCCAGCCACAACCAGCCAATGAAGATGTCATAACTGCAGCCATGGAGAAGCTCACGTGATCTCACAGGAAGTGAGACTATCACAACTCAGGGTCCTCAAAGTACCATATCACTTACTTGCAGAGCACATCTGTTTCCAAATGATCATCCCCTGTGGATGCAGTTTTCCGAATGTCTATGACATCACCACACTATGCATGAACTCTCCCTACATAACATTATCTAGGAAAATGAAGCATGTTTCATGCATTAGGGTGTGATCAACGCCCACAACAGTTACCTCTGTATATGGGATAATTCCCATGCAATCTGCAAACATGGGTTTCAGTGCCAGCACTTGGGAGGGTAATTTCAGGGGCACTGTTGTGGGCCCCTTCTGCTACCTGACAGGCTCACTGTTTAACAATATCATGAATATCTGGAAACTGTTTTACTAAGGTATGTGCTCCTAGCGGCAAGCCAGAGGTTGTGGTCTCAGCATGAGTACTCCAGCACACTATAGGAAAGCTATTCAGAAGTGGTTGAATGCAACTTATCCAGGAAGGTAATGTAACCTTTGAGGGCTGACTACATGGCCTCTTTGGTCACTGGATGTAACTCTAATGCATCTTTTCCTGTGGGTACACTTAAAGGAGCATGCTTATGCAGTCCCTCCCAGGTCTCCCAAAGATCTCATTGCAAGACTTCACACAGCTGTGACAATGGTCAACATCAACATGTTAAGGCATGTTCAAGGGAATGTCTTGCACCACACTGCCATCTGCCTTGAATTGGACAAAGGCTATTTTGAATACCTATTGTAATTACAAGGTGCCCATGATTTGATCATCTGATGGTGACAAGTGTCTTAAAAACTAATGTCACAGAACATACGTTGTACAACATTAATGACTCTTTTTTTTAAAGAAGGAATAACAGTATGGAGAGCCTGTGCACAATATTCATTTCATTCCGTATAGTAAGTAATGTTTTTCAAAGGTGAAAATAATTTTATATATAATTACTAAGCAATGTACTATTTACTCATTTAGAGAATCTCTCTCCTTTTTCAGCTGGTTACATTCAACTTCCAGTCTTGCACATTTAACTTCAAGTTGTGTTTGTTCTGTCTGTGTGTCAGAAATAATTTCTTTTGCAGGCTCTATTGGTTTAAATGACCGTAAGTCTGCCTGGTTTGTATACTGTCCATGCAGCGGTGGAAAACAATGTTCAAACTGCCTGAACAAACTATGTTCCATAACTTTCATTCCAGGAATGACAACAGGTTTCGTATGCGAAGCATCTGCTGTTTTTACTGGAACAAAACCAATCTGATATGGCTTTGTAGTGACTTTTTCATCTCTTGTAGGAATATCACTGGTCTGATTCACCTCCTCACAATTTATTCCTGATGAAATCCTCATGACAGCATCTTCCATGCCGGTGATAATTCTCTGCAGACTGTCATCTTTCTCTGAAAACAAAAATTTCATTACCGATAAAACATAACGGCTGAATAAACCTTACACCCCTCCACCCAAAATATGCATACTAAAAGAAAATAGACAAAAGTTAAAACAATCATAATTTAAGAGTTCACTTAGCATGTTACAATAGTACCTTCTTTTTTAATAACTTCAGGTATATTTTTTGTTGTAAAATATCCTAACAACGGGCAATGACCTCCTGTTGCCTTTGCTAAAAGACTTTACTACAAGTACATCCCTTTCCCTTGGGCAGGGAAAAGTTTGGGATACTTCTAGGCTCATCATCTGGGGACTCTACCATTCATATCTCAAAGTGTACAGACAGACAGAATGATGCTAACGGATGCTTCATAATTGTCTATTTCATTTACTGAGCAGTCATAACATTCTCCACAGCTATTCTTCTTACTTGATAATAACAGTCACAAAGATATGTGAAACTCATTTGACAGTTGTCTCCAATTCAGTGTGATATTTCTTCATCGACTTCTTTTTGTATATTTGTTACATACCAGCATTGCTGCTTGTAATATGACCCTTTCATTTATTGCTACTCCTACATATTCATACATTCACACTATTATACTTTCATCTTTAGGTATATTGATGATAAACTACATTTCCACTAGTACATGCTTACTTTTCTTTGACTGTCTGACACTAAAACGATGTTTCTAATAAACTTTTGACTTTGTCCTACTCACTGTCATATTACAGACTTGTCACTGGAAATAACCATTCACCCCTCCAAACACACACAAAAACATACACAATTCATAAAATCTGATTTTTACACACCTTACACAAGAAACCTTAAATTTTAACATTAGCTTTTCTTATGAGTTGTAGCTGAACAATTCATTTATCTGTAGCACAAGTGACAATAACATATGTTCAGACAAGTGGGAGAAACAAGACTAGATACAGAATTCTATAAGGGCCTGAAAGGTCCTAATCTCTTGTCCACTGTGACAATGAAACAGCCTTCCAAAAGGATGGCATGATATCTACCGAGTATCATAAGCAAACAGACACAACTTCTACTGAACAGTGAGTTTATGACACGTTATATTAACATACAATTATTATTATTATTTCATTAAACTTTTATGTACATGAAAAGAATATGTATAGAAATTATATACTAACAGATAAAAATATAATTCACTTACCTCTTTTCTGCAATTTTCCACGCAATTCCTTGACCAAGAAATTTAAAGTTCTTACTGGATTGAACCTGGAAAAATCACCACCACCATCGCTGGCATTATATTTTGACGGCAGCTTAGAAGGGAGGAAATCATTCTGATTGTTATCAGCAACTATAATTTCAGGCAAGCAGCACTGTACGCTTTTACTGACATAATTAGGTGACTGCTGACCATCTAAAGCATCATCACTTAGGCTGCTGCTTAAAGAATATTCAGGAACTTTGTGTTTGTTTGAACGCTTAAAGCTATGTGTGGGTCTTCTGGGATTACGACGTAATTTTTCTTGTTTAACACCTTCACCGTCCTTAGGCTTTGCATTGTGGATAATGCATGGACTATTCTTATCCTTCAATACGAGTGCCCAAGGAAGGGGTCTATGATTGGAACGGAAATGACTTTTCTTCTCATGCTGAACATTCCTTTCAAAGTTTGAGGGATCTGGAGGCTGAAACAATACATCTGACTGCTTCTGTATTTCACCTCTTGCCACAGTTCGATCAGTTTCAGGAGCAGTATTTAATACACTGGCCCTTGGTCTTTTCCTACTCTTACCTACAGTAGATGCCTTGGTTGTCACTCTAACTTCAACTGTTGTGTTATTATTTTCAAAAACTTCTTCAGACAGCACGTGGTCTGCAGTATTTAAAGGCTGAATATTATCTTTACGAGTACGTGATTTTATTTCTAATGAAGCAGAAGCAGGTGGAGTAACTGATCTTCCACGAAGAGACCTTGGGCCATTATGGCCGGGCTTGCATGCAGTAGATTTATCTACTTTACCTCTGATCACTTTTGACAAAAACGCTTCATAATTAGTAATATCCCTTTCAAGAGCACTTATACTATTTTTCACACGGCGGGAATTCATTTGTATAATCTCCAAACGCTGTTATATTACTAACCAAGAACTAAATTTAACGTCTTACAAATTGAATTCACAAAATTACTTTCAACACCGCGACGCTCGTTACCGCTCGTTAACCACTTAACCACTGCCTAAGCCGTCTAAGCTGCCTACTCTGGCTACCGCTACACGTTCCCTCCTTCCCTCCTGCTGCTCCTGCTTGCCCCCCCCGCAGGCGGTAAGGGGTTGGCCGCGGATACAGGGCTGCCAAGCGTCTCCCAAGGCAGTGTTGCCAGATCCCCGAGGCTTTCCTCATTCCATCAAATCTCCACAGGCATTACCACCAGTAAAGGTACAATAGGACATATGGAGGACTTAAGACCACAGAAACTGTTTTCAAGACTAATTATACTGTCATATTATTATCTCTGTATTACTATATTATTATTATTATTATTATCATCATCATCATCATCATCATTTATTATAAATTGGCATACCATTTCTGTATTATTATATTCTTATTACTATTTAGTATTAGTATTAATATTAATCTTTGACTTGTCCCATATCATGTATAATGATTCATGGATGAAATAAAATTGAATTGAATTGAAATAAGTTCAGCCGGAGTGTGGGGCTCGTAACAATGTATAACGCACTCCCTTTTGTATAATGGATAGTCTAGCTGACCTGATGTGTAGTCTATTTTGTACTCTAGTGTTAATTTTATGTACACTATTATTTGTAGGATAATTATTTTCGTTTTCAATTACAAACATGACCACGGCATATATAAACAAACAGGGAACTGTAATTATCCCTAGTTCTCTGAAAACCTCTCTACAAGAACTTCTAGGCCTCATCATTAACATTGCTCTAATTGCTCTTTTCTGAGCCACAAAAACTCTTTTCATTGATGACGAAGAAGAGCACCAGAAAATAACACCATATTTAAGTTGACCTTGACAGTAAGCACAATAAGCCATTTTCAACACTTGCCTACTTACGAGGGGGTACCCCAAAGAAACCAAACTTATTTTTTTTAACTTATTTATTCAAATTTTAAGCACAAACCTTCAATCCCCCTCAAAGTACTCTCCACTTACACTAATACACTTGTCTAGTCTTTTATTCCATTTTTCAAAACATTGTCTAAATTCATCTTTTGAGATGCTTGACAGCGCCTCCGTCATTTTTTCCTTTCATGTCTCTTTTCATTCGAGGAAACAAAAAAAAGTCGCATGGGGCAAGGTCGGGTGAGTATGGAGGGTGAGGAACAGGGGTCATACCATTTTTGGTCAAGAATTGTCGTACAGACAGGGCTGTGTGAGCAGGGGCATTGTCATGATGGAAAAACCAGTCACCCGACTGCCACAAATCTGGCC